AACTTTGCCTTTTTGGAATTTACAGTCTCGGCTTTTAGGGAAGGTTTTTACATTTATCTGTGGGTATCCAGGGCTCATGTATGGAATTACTAACCAGCACAACTGAATAATCAGATAAGGGACATTTTGCTATGTCTGCTAGGTGGCTAAAGTCTGATCCTCAGAGCCTATGGTTTGGATGGTCAGCAACGCTTGTGGGCCTTGAACTCCTGACCGGGTCTGCACAGTCTGCATCAGATTCCCCCTTATTTATTATTTGTTTAAGGGACGCTAGCAGGCTAGTTTTTAAGGAGGTAATTTTGTATGGCTTGCAAATGATCTTATCAATTTTAGCAGAAAAAAAATTCCCCACCCCTGTTCTAGAAGATAAGTGTGTAGCAGCATGTTGTTAGATCTGTGTTTTAAGTTATTCTTCACTACGGCAAGTAACCCTGGTGTTTTTCTGTTTATGAATTCATCATTTATAGTGTTCTAGTATTATTTCATAAAATATTTTTTGAGTACCATGTGCAAGGTACTATTTTACATGCTGGAAATTAGCAACAAATAAAGCAGGTCCCGCTTACATGAAAGCTACATTTTAGGGTGAGGAGACAGTAAAATGGTGTAGTATTTTACATAGCATTAAGTATTATACAGAACACAAGGCGCAGTGGTGAGGTCACAGTGGTTGGGAACAAAGGAGTAGAGAGAGGTGGGAAGCTACTTGAGATGAAGCTGTCTCTGAGAAGGAAACAGTTAAAGTACGATTTGAGCAACAGGCAAGAAGGACCTAGAAGCCATGGGGAGAGCAGGAAATAGAGGGAAGAGTGACGTAAATGCTCTGAGGCAACCGTGGACTGGCTGTGTTCCAGGAATGGAGAGGAGGTAGAGGTGGATGAGGCGTGATATGAGATAGCACTGGGGAGATGGGCAAGGCCAACACATGGAGACCCTGAAGAGCATACAAGTATTAGGAGTTTGAGTTTATTCTAAGAGCAGTGAGGATCCACTGCTTAGATGGGGAGGCAGCATGACCGCATTCACACTGTAAGGTAATCCTGACTCCCATGTGGGACAAGAGTAGTTTAAGGAGCCCACTTAGGAAGCCATTGTCATAGTCTAGACAAGAGATGATAGTGGCATATTCCAGGGAGACAGACTCTCAGCTAAAAACCTCAGGGGTTCACTATTGAGAAACTGAATCTTAGAGAGACCTCTATACAATTCAGTTTTTTGTGTCTAAGAAAAATTGAGAGGTTTGGAAAACAGGGGGGAGAAGTCATTGTATGCCAAGGAAATAGATACCTCATCCAACTTCCTTGCTTCTTTTGCTTTGTTCTCCTCATTTTAGCTTCTACTACTTCCCAACTTCCTTAGTTCCCATTTGTCTCTTCCAAGTCTGCCTCTTTCCCTTTACTACCCACTGAAATTTAGAACCTATAGAGTCAAATGGAAAGTTTACTTTTTCCTTCATCACTAAATAACATGAAAACATGAAGTCGTGTACACAGTGGGCCTAATTAAACCTTTATTCTTTTGATGAAATTACATGCAAGCAGTTAAGCATAGACCCCACCGCAAGGGACCCTTTAATTTAAAAATATACATTCACACCTGCTTTCTTTTATTGGCCAAACTGTTGTTATATCTACTCCTCATTTATTGACATGGTTAGGTTTGAAAGACCAAGTCGTTATGCGAAAATGGAGGCACAGGGCCTCCTGTTTTAAAAATGAAGACTCCCAAGACAGTGGCAGCAGAATATTAGCCCAAGCATGGACCCTTCTAAGCATGAACACTGTGTGCCTTGACTGCACTTCACAATTTGCACAACCAGTGATGATTACAGAAGATGGGAGTAACATTTGCTTCTGAGAGAGACTGGCTGCTTTGTTTGTGAGGGAAAGTGAAGCACAGTTGATGATACAAGGTGGAAAGGATAAAGAGAAGCAGAAGAAGATGGCTACAATGGATTACAGTCATAAAATTGATTCTTCCTTTGACTAGCTTGAAATAAATTTGCTTTAGTTGACAAAGAGAAAGATCATGGAACTCCTAACTTACTTGGGCCCCAAATTAAGTTTTTATTTCTTTAATTTTTTCCATAACCAATCTAAATTCTAGTAAAGATATCAGTTTGAGGACTCAAGTGCACCTGACCCAAGCCATGGTATTTTCAACAGTCTCATATGCATGTGAAAATTGGACAATGAATAAAGAATACCATAGAAAGTTAATGCATTTGCATTATGGTGTTGAAGAAGAATATTAAAAGTACCATGGACTGCCAGAAGAGCAAACAAATCTGTATTAGAGGAAGTACAGCCAGAATGCTCCTGAGAGATCAGGCATGGCAAGACTTCATCTCTCATACTTTGGACATGTTACCATTCTTGGTAAAGTGAAGAATCAGAGAGAAAGAGGAAGACCCCAACAAGACGGATTGGCATAATGGCAGCAACAATGGGCTCAAGTGTAACAATTGTGAAATTGGCGCAGGACGGAACAGTGTTTGGTTCTGGTATGCATAGCGTCGCTACGAGTTGGAACCAACTCTTTGGCACCTAACAACAACAACAATGTAAATTCTTATCAGTAGAAATAGTGTCCTCGTAGTATAAAAAATTATTTGGAAAGAAGAGGAAAAGAGGTGAGTTGAAGGAAAAATCTATGTGAAAATCTTGTTTATAAAATGCAGCTATTTGACTTTCTTTAACCCTGACTCTATGAGTTAAGGAATTCAAATAATTCAGTATGTATGTCCAAATGATTTAAAAAGTGACGGATTTCAGGTTCAATTTTCATACATTTCCTGTGGGTTCCATTATTACTGTATTCAAACTTGGAAAAAGAAAACATGCACACAAATTTTTTAAAAAATGATTACTCAAGCAATTTAGAAAAGCAATTTTTATGACTCCTAGTCTCCCCCACCCCGCCCTTCTTTGAAATGTCTTTTCATTTCCGGAGTCCTGGATGATAAATTAAATTGCACTGGCAGGATGTCTGGGACTGATTGAGTGAATTCAGTGAACCTGTCATTGGTCAAATGATTCAATTTTCATAACTGATTTAAATGTATTTTTCCCTGCTCCTTTATTCTTTTAGAAACCCTCAGCAGGTTGTGGGGGAATAGGAGACTTTGTGGAGCTGCTGGGAGGAACTGGATTGGACCCTTCTAAGATGATGCCTTTAGCGGATCTCTGCTACCCCTTTCATGGCCCAGGTGAGATGTTTCTTTATTGTTTGTGTGCCTATCAAAATTATTTCCTTACCCATCCTAATTTTTTGTTTAATTAATTGAAAAGTGAGGTCAACCAGGAAACCTTCATCATCAAGACAATATGAGGGTTTTACATTTGAGCCTTTATCCTAATGTACATACACATAAGCACAGAATCCATTACCAAAATATCTGACATTGGGAGAGGAACCAATGAGTAATAAAGGCCGCTATTCAAGATTGAGGAACCCTCATAGCATAGTGGGTTATGCGTTGGGCTGCTAACTGCAAGCTCAGCAGTTCGAATCTACCAGTTGCTTTGCAGTAGAAAGATCAGGCTGTTCTTGTAAAGATCTACAGCCTCGGAAACCCTATGCAGAGTCAGAACCAACTTGATGGTACAGAACTGCCACCACAGTTCAAGCTTGGACCTAAATAAAACCGTGGGAAAGACAAAGTTTTCCCATTCTGTGCCCTTTCCACCTTCTTGGAGGTCCCTGTTTTTACCCCCTAGAAGCTAAAGGTTTTGGTTTTCAAAAACTGCAAAGCTATATCAATTAGCAGTAGAATAATCATGAAGTAACATCTCAGTAAGTTCCCCACAGGATTGCTATGAGTCGGAACCAACTCCATGGCACATAACAACAACAACATATGTACACACACACATGTTATATATAGTAAAGAGGTAAACTTTATTAGAAATGCTCAGAACTGCTGAATCTCACCAGCAATTTCTAGCAGTTTGATCAGCCTCTCAAAGACCACTGCAATGTATAAGTAAACTCCAAAGTCTAAAAGTGGTCACTGGTAATAAAAGATGGATTCTGTGCACTCAGGACTTAGAACCAGAATGAACTAGATTCAGTTCCTTGAGTGCACTGTGTGCTAAACAGAACCACATCTTCTTTGGCCTGCCGTGGGAACATGCACCATTGGATTATGCTCAGGTGGGGTGAGGGTGGCTGGAATTATTGACCATTGGCCCACTCAGGATGAAACTAAGTAATGAAGTCCAAGTGGGAAGGAGAAAGATTACCTAAAACATTTCTACAAAGATTGCTTCCCACAACTTCACTTCAGATGCAGGAATTTTAGAATATGTTTAAAAACAAAAGTAATATATAACAGGAAAGGAACAATCTTTAATCTCATAGTTCATTCTTAGTTCTTCCCAGAGCCCTCTTTCTCTGTTATCATCATAGATCATTAACAAGCTAGAAAATCAAGCTACAAATCAGACAGTGCACACCATACCTAGTCCCTTCAGTCAACTGTTTTCTGTTTTAAATCAAATAGATTTGCCCACCAGTGTTTTGTCTCTTTGAACTAATGCTGGCAACTCTGAACTAGGAATAATATGCACTGGTAAGCACCTAGGTGTGATAGGCACACCCCTTCCTATCTAATTGAAAGTTTGGTGGTTCAAGTTCACCCAGAGGCACCTCAGAAGAAAGACCTGGCAATCTACTCCTGAAAAATCAGTCATTGAAAACCCTAGGGAGCATAGTTCTACACAGACACACCTGGGGTCTCAATGAGTTGCAATCGACTCAATGGCAACTGGTTTTCACTAGTTGGGCTCAAGGCAAACTGTTCTATCAAGTTAAAGGAAACTTTCCCCAAAACCCACTTTGTTGAAAGTAGAAAATTACATTATGCTAATTTGCACTTGAGCCTTGGTTTAAACTGTCAGCACAGATGGCTTCTTAGCCTTTTGTATTCACTGAGGCACTGAATTGCTTCCAAGCTGATGATTGGAGAGCACCTATGAGGAGATGCCTTTTAACTGGGGAAAAAGATGAGCTTAGGACTAAAGACCACTCATGCCTTACAATTCCAATAATTGAAGTCAGAGTAATTTTTCTGCTTGGATTATGACTCGAATTAGGTAAAATTGTGAGACTGAGGCCAAAAAACCACTTGGGCCTAAATTATCCTAGATAATTGAAGTCAGAACCATTTTAAGGCTTGAATTATATGACTCATTGCTTCATTTTAAACTTTGCCATGTTTTTGCTGAGCCCCTCCTAAATTGTTCAGACAATGACCAACTATTAGGAATCCTGCCCTTTAAATTAGATTTTATTAGGAAGAAAGTCAAAATACTTTGAAATAATATGCACATTAACTAAAGGAAATAGGGCATGTTAAATAGATTAAAGTTCAGAGTAAGATCAGGAAAAGAATGGCCTTCCGAATCATCGAAAGCAAAAATACATTTGCACCACCTGGTAGCAGTTTAACCTGGACTCTCTGGTGCTTATAGTAGAATATGAATTATAGGGTCTATAGTTAGAATATCACCAAATAGCCTTTCACCTCAGGAACTCTATCTGACTGCATATTATTTCATTTAAAGCCCAGTACACTGTGGCACTACAGGATAATGCACTGGACTGCAAGGTTGGCGGTTCAAACTCACCAGCCGCTCCTCAGAAACACTTTACAGGATCACTGTGAGTCAGAACCGACTCAATGGCACTTAACAACAACAACATATTTGTGAAGTGCTTGTTACACCGTGCCAATGGGGGGAGACTATGGAGGAGACGAAGACAGAAAAGTTAAAACAGAAGAAAGGAATATTGTAGGACAGATAAGGCTTGCTTCAGGAGCCAGCTTGAAGCTGGAGAAATAAAGTGAAAATATGTTTTAATAAAAATAAAATTAATTTCAGTATATAGTTACTCAGGCATATCCTTGTTAGATTCTTCATACAAACCATGAATAAGATTGGATTAAGAGAAGTAAGGAAAAAAAGAAACCATGTAATAAAAAGTAGAGGGAAAAAATGAGAGAGAAAAGTACAAGAGAACAATAGTATAAAAACTAGTATGTTCAGTCTATATTAAAACCATGCAAACAGTGTTTTTTGTTTATATGTATGGCAAAGTTATCATCTAGGCTCAGAAAACAATAAGCAGGGATTTGTTTGTTGCCTGCATCAATGTCCAGTCTTAAGCCTTTGCCCACTAAATATCAGCTGTTGTTAAGTACCATCCAGTTGGTTCCAACTCATACTGACCCTGTATAGGGTTTCTGAGGAGCAGCTGGTGGGTTTGAACTGCCAACCTTGTGGTTCACAGTCCAGTGCTGATCCTATAGCACCACACCAGGAGTTCAAATACCAGTTGCACCCCATACATTATAACCAAAAACTACCCCTGCAGATTTCTAGCCTGTCCCTACAGGTTACTGTCCCTGAGAACACTGAACTAGAATAAAGGTACAGGACTGAGAGACTGCTGCCTTCATCGGTCTTTACCACCAAAGTCTTGTAGGTAGGAAAACAAGGGAAAGGCAGGAAACTCCTCTGTTTCCAGCCAGTTTTATTTAGATAACAGTATTCTTGGACATGAAGAGAGAAAGACTGAGTTCAATTTCACTATTCTAATCATCTATCCTAATAGAAACAGAAAATCCTAGGCGGTGCCAACAGTCAGTGTACTCAGCTGCTAACTAAGTTATTGGATTTTCAAGTCTACTCAGAGACACCTGGTGATGAACTTCTGAAAAGTCAGTCCCTGAAAACCCTATGATGGCACTTGGTGGCAACTGACAGTACATAATAATAAATACGCCCCCTTGCTTTCATTGTGTTTAAATTATGCTGGTCAGCAAAAATGGCTTGTGTGTTTGCTAACATTTTGGGAAACTTTAATTTTTTTCCCTCCATCAATTATAGCCCAAATGAAAATTGGCTGTGACAACTCCGTGGTGCGCATGGTCTCCAGTGGGAAACACATAAACCACGTGACTTTTGAATACCGTCAGCTGGAACCCTATGAACTGGAAAATCCAAATGGGAACAGTATTAGGGAATTCTGTTTGTCTCGTCTTTGAGTAATCAACCTGATATTTACATGCTGCTAGTTCATGAGTTTTAAATAGTGATTACATATGATTTTGACAACCAGCTTATTACAGGGAATACCTGTCAGTATTCCCAACCTTGAGCACACACCACATACTCATGACTGCATTGATTTTTGTATTTTGCTTCTATTTAATTTATAGCATATAAATGGTCATGTGGCAGAAAACAAGCACCCATTTGAAAGGAAGTGTTTGCAATTCATTGGTGTGTTGCAAGCCTGGGCTAGTAAGACAAATGCAAAGCAATTCACAATATAAATATTGTATCTAAAGAGAAAATACCATAAATAAAGAAAAACTATGGCACTCATAAACTTCACAACAGAAAAAAAAAAGGCAAAGTCTGTGTATGCTAAAGTAGTGGCATCTGTTTATTTTCTATTTATTGTTCTAGATAATAATTGTGGCTATTATTCATTGATTTTTAACATCTTGTTTTTAACAAAACTTTGTAGCATGGAAGTCCTTTCCATCCACAAATACACACATAAATAAACATAGTCAGAATGTTGAAACTTTGACATTGTTTTCTTTTTTTTCCTGGGTTGTTTTCCCTCAGAAAATATGTTGTCATGTGGTGTTGAACTAAATGCTGGACCAAAGCATTTTGGAATTCTTAGAGCTCATAGAACTCTCGACGATTAAACTGTAATTATTTAGAACAGACCACAGAATTGCAGTGTTTGTACAAACAACACTGATTTAGCACAAATTTTGGCTCAATAGATATTTTGGAATAAGCAAATATATTAGCAAGTGAGTAAATAAATGTCAGGATGGGTGGATGGATGGATGGATGGATGGATGGATGGATGGATGGATGGATGGATGGTGATGGTGGTAGTTACATGCATTGGAGTCAGTTCCAACTCATAGCGACCCTGCATAGGGTTTCCAAGGCTGTACATCTTTACAGGAGCAGAAAGCCTCATCTTTCTCCTGTGGGATGGATGGATGGATGATTACAATTCTTAATTAGTTATATAAGAGATTGTAATATGTTGTTTGGGGTGCTGTTGAGTTGGTTCCAACTCCATATGCAACAGATTGAAACACTGTCCAGTCTTGTAACATCCACACAATCGTTGCTATGTTTGAGCCCATTGTTGCAGCCACTGTGTCAGTCCATCTTGTTGAAGGTCTTCCTCTGCTAAGCATGAAGTCCTTCTCCCGGGCCTAGTTCCTCCTGATAACATATCCCAAGTACGTGAAACAAAATCTCACCATCCTTTCTTATAAGGAGCATTCTGGCTGTACTACTTGCAAGACAGACTTGTCCATTCCTCTTGCAGTCCATGTTATAGTCAATATTTTTCACCAATACTGTAATCCAAATGCATTTGAATTATATGAGAGATTAGATTTCTCACTTTATAGAAATTCACAATTCCTCTAAAACTAGATGGATTGTCACAGTGGCTATAACAATGGGTTCAAACAGCAACAATTGTGAGGATGGCTCAGGAGTGTTTCGTTCTGTTATACATAGGGTTATTAGCAGTCTTGATGGCACCTAACATCAGCTTCCTAAGGATTAGTGCAGTCACTCCTATCAACACTTGAAGTGACTAACTCTTAACCCTCAGTGCTCCCTTATATCTTAACCAGTTTGTGGTAAGGTAGCAGGAATTTTATCTACTATTAGGATCATCTACTTTCATTCTTTAGGAACATTTTGCCAGCTATGTAGCTTCTCTGCACTTATTTATAACTAATAAGGTGGGACTGTGATCCCAAAGGTTTCTTCCAGCACTGACATTCTGTGGCCATTCATTTGTAACATAGTTGACTTCAAAGCTGATTACACAATAGCTTACATTCTCTGGAAAGGAAGCAGAAGTCAAGAAACCAAATGACATATTGCATTAGGCACTTCTGCTGCATAAAACCTCTTTAACGTGTTTAAGAGCAAAGGTGTCACTTTGAAGACTGCAGTGTGCCTGATCCAAGCCATTGTATTTTCAGTAGGCTCATATTCATGTGACAGTTGAACAATGAATAAAGAAGATCATAGAAAACTTGATGCATTTGAGTTATGGTGCTGAAGAAGAACATTGAAAGTACCATGGACTGCCAGAAGAATAAGCAAAGCTGTATTGGAGGAAGTGCAGTTAGAAGCCAGGATGGTGAGACTTCATCTCTCATACTTCAGACATGCAATTAGGAGGGACCAGTCCCTGGAGAAGGACATCATATTTAGTAAAGTGAAAGGTCCATGAAAAAGAGGAAGATCCCTCCAGGAGATGGATTGGATTGACACAGTGCCCCCAACAATGTGCTCAAGCGTAACCACAACTGTGAGGATGGAGCACGACAGGGCATTATTTCCAATTGTTGTACATAGGATTGCTATGAGTCAGAACCCACTGGTCAACACCTAACAACAATTCTAGGAGTAAATGATGGATAAAAATCATTGATATACTCTCCAAGACTGAAACTCAAAGGGAACACACAAGCAGGCATGTAAGCTTACTGGAGACCATATTGGTCTATTGGTGATTGGAAATGGGGAAAGGCAGCAATGAAGATGTGAGCTGAGTTTGACCATGTTCCATAGACTCCCATTAACCTTGAGATGAGAGAGAAAAAAGGAAACGCTGGTTGGTCTGAAGTGTGGTGAGACTTGGGGACTTCTGAGTCCATGGATAAGGACCTAGCCATGGAGGACTAAAACTGAGAGTGAAGTGTCCAGCTGATATGAAGTGAGGGGAGATGCACAAGAATGCCCAAACTTGTAGACAGTACCCATTTGACCTAGCTTTGATGGTTTGATGATCAGAACTCTACTAGAGGAAGATTAAAAAAACACAATTTTTGGTAAAGGAAACAAGTGTAAATTGCTACAATTTGATGAATTTGACCTATACTTATGGATGTAGTACTTCAAATATCAACTGAGAGGAAGGAGTCTTTACATCAAGGATCAATCCTATCCTCTCTGTACACAGGGTTGATAGGGATGGGCAACTTAGACATTGGCTACCTAAAATTGGGGGCTATAAAGGCATGAAGTGACTGGCTTACAAGTTTTCAAGAGGGAGTTTAGTTTCAGAGTGTACGGGGGAAGGTAGAGTCCCCACTGAATAGTTTTCATCTTGTCTAGACAGGTCTGGTGAAAGGAAATTGGGGATAAGATTTTTATGACTCAATTGTGAGTAATTATTATCATGATGAATTGTGATTGTCACAACTGTAAAGATAGAAGTTTTGTAACATAAAGGGGGGAGTAGTTAATCTTAAGGAGCTCTGGTAGTGTAGTGGTTACAAATCAGGCTGCAAACCACAAGGTCAGCAGTTCAAAACTACCAGCTGTTCCACAGGAGAAAGATGAGGCTTTCTGCTCTTGTAAAGATTTACAGCCTCAGAAACCCTGTATAGGGTCGCTATGAGTCAGAACTGACTCCACAGCACATAAACACCACTACAGTTAATCTTACATTCTAGGAACAGAGGACTCTAGGACCATCAAGGGAGAAGAGCACGAGTCAAATGTGGGACCCTAACCAGAGAAGCAGATACACCAGAGATGGAGGCAGAGATGATAACATGGAGAGACAGAGCAGCTGGGGATGCTAGACATGGAAAGAGAAAGGCTGTATGCTAGCAGCCAGGAGGCAGGTTTGCAGAATGTGCCCTTTGTTTATTTAAATGATTATATATGCTCCTGAATGTTTTTGTGTAGATGCAAAAAAAAAAAAAAAAACCACACAGAGAGGAAACAGAAGCAAATACTGTTGAAGGATGCTGCACAGAGGGGATTGTTATCATTGCAATGAAATGAAATACCATAGGATGAGTGTAAAACTGATGTTCTCCCATGTAAACTATTCACAATAAAAACAAAAACACAACAAAAAATTGTGCTGGGATGAAAGATTGGCAATTTTACTGTTTAGATCTGTCATATAAAGGAAAATAAAGGTGAAAAATATTAATGTGCCAATTACAGAACTACATGAGTATGTATCTTACAGCCAAATGCTGGTGCTCTGTGGAGGTGCACTGAATTAGTACTAGAGTAAGTTCAGTAACTCCAGAGCTCTTTTTTCAGATGAAAATGTGATAGCTGAACTATTGTTCCCTTTTTAACATCCATTTGTATATGTATCAGGTTTATTATTTTCTTTTTTGGAGAGACTTCTAAACTCTTTTGAATATCATTAGAATGCCAACATTTTTTACAATCCCTCCCTATTTTCTTGTCAGTTCAAGTTTTTGAACCAGTTAATGATGAAAATATGTAACAGTGGATAGATAGTATGCTGTCAGGGAATATGTTAAATAAATATGTGTATTTATTAGTGGGGAAAAAATTCACTGATCTAGGCTTGGGATGCCCCGCCCACTTTCTCTGCCTGGGTCCTGAAGCTATGAGGGTGGGATGTTCAAGGCTTCATCCCTGGGCCTACCTTTAACCCTCAACAGGTACGTTGAGTCAGGGGCCTGGTCCAGCATGCACTGCAGCTGTTGCATGGACCCCGGCGCTGCTTTCATCCCTGTCTTGCAGCTTTGCCCTTTGTAAAATCCTGCCCACGTTTTAAATAAAAAAATAAATACAAATGGGAAGTTGGATCAGGAAGTTGGTACTTCTGCTGTAGGCTGTTGCCAATATTATTTCTGGAACTTTTCTGGGGCTTTTGTTGGGCACAAGATGGATGACAAGAACAGCTAATAATAGTTATTGAGCTGAAAGGTCAGCAGTTTGAACCCATCCAGCAGCTCAGTGGAAAAAAATCCTGGAGATCTACTCCCATAAAAGTGGCAGCCTGGGAAAACATGTGGGGATGCCATGATTCAGGACTGGCTGGACAGCACACAACATTTCTTTTTTGGTGTTGACGTGGAAGATGTTAAGTGATGAGAATGGTGAGGAGTGAACTGGAACTTTGGGTAAGTCCAAATGGATTAAAAAATAAAAGATAATTTAAAAAGAAAATCATTGCTATACGAGTCTACTTAATCCGAGTTGCCCTTTCTTAAGTGTTCGTCAGAAACACTCATTGGTTAATTTGGCTACAAAGTAGGTCCATCATAGCAGATTAATGTTTCTGTTTATAATTTTTTAATGATTTAACTTTGCCTGTTACTGGGTGTGGTTTTCTCCACTTGCTATTATATTCTCTTTCCCTAGGGAGGAAATGCATTTGTCACAGAACAAGCTTTT